GATTACTTGTTCTCATTGTATAATTGTCATTATGCAGATTTTTTCAAGAATCTTGGTAAGTATGAAAGACAGTTTAAATTCTACTTTATATTTGAAGGATCCTGCAATTATTACAATAATGTTTCAGCGCATGTCGAAGGATTGCTGCGTCGAGATTATTTAATATTTCCTCATTATCGATATTACGTTCGGGAAATGAGAATTCTCGCATATACTCAACTATTGGAATCCTATCGGTCTTTAACTCTCCAGTATATGGCTGAAGCATTTGGTGTCACAGTGGAATACATTGATCAGTGAGTGATTGTTATTAATTTTTATCGAGTTTGTTGTCAATTTTAACACAATTTAATTAAATCAACTAAAATGCTTATATGAATCTCTTTAGTTGTTAATAAATTATATTAATATATTCATAAGCAATGGAATACAATTTGTAAGTATTTCAGTTTGTACTTAATTTTACTTAATTATTATATTAAAGAAAACTCACACAAATTCAGAAACGAAACTCATTTACAGTTTACATTTTACTTTTAACTTCATTTGATTATTACTTCTTAATTGCTTGCAAATTATATTTTAACACTTATGGATATGTAATTTATGCACTAATATCCGCTCATATTTTATTTGTATTAGATTTATTTTTGGAGTCACAAATATTATTAATTTATTTTAATTTGTATTTAATTAAAGTTATAAACTCTCTGGCTTCAGTTTAAGATTGTGTTTCAAAATCGACAAATAATCAGTACAGTTTGCTTGAACTGGAAATTGTAAAGATTTACATAAAAATAGATATCAAAGTCGACTATTAATGCTCTTGAATATTTATTTAGAGAACTGTCACGCTTCATAGCAGCAGGCCGATTACATTGTAAAGTCGATCGAGTTGGAGGAGTAGTCGAAACAAATCGGCCGGATAGCAAGAATTGGCAATATCAAGCAATGGTGAAGCAAGGGGACCTTCTACTCAACAGGGTGCAGAAATTGTCGCGTGTTATTAATATTTAATTTCGTGTATTTGTATAATCACAGAGATTATCTTGCTATTGTATTAAAAAACAATCAAGATTGATTAAATGATTGTGTATCTGTTTTAAAGAGTCTGTATGTTAGGTTTTGGCTCGGATTTTGTAACAAAGAAAGCTAAAAGTCACGTTTGATTTTGTAAACAAGATACACGAATATTCCTTGTGGAATGTATAATGTGATTTATTTATATTTTGCAGCCTGAATATCCCCATCGTTGAGTTAATACTTATTTCTTCGCAATGAGTCGACAAACGTTACTTAAAAGAAAGTTAAATGAATTAATGATAGTGGCCTAGTTTCCGAGGGTTCAAACCAAATTAGAATGTAAGAATCAACCAACTACACTCGAGTATTCCCCTGTTACAGTCGAACAACAAGGGATGCTCGATTGTAAATTAATTGATTTTTCCCAGAGAGAAACCTGAGAGAAGACATGACAGCTCAACCTGTAACTGCAAAGTTCTGCCGCGCATTACTATCCTCTGACAAAGAGTGCGTTCGGGGAGACACTATTCGCGCTATGCAAATGCTATTCTTGGAGCCAATAGTGCGATAGCGTTAGCAAGCTCCATGAACGATTCTAGCGTAGCGTTTAACCAGAGAGATATATTTGTCGAGATTAAGTTAATATAGGGGATTCTGTTTTCAATTACCAATCAAACTTTTCCCTATTAAAATTTTTAAGGTTTTGTAAAGTATTTGTAACGTAAATTTTTTATTTTTTCGTAGTGAATAACAGAACAATCTCAATTGCAATCTCTATGATAGCTTGCTGCTAGGCCGAAATGAACAATGTAGAAATTAGATTAAAAAATTAATAGTTACACTAAATTAATCAGATAAAAGGAAGAATCCTTGAGCATCCGTTGTCAATTTTAGAAGAAGCGTATCTATATTTAATGAAGATTTTAAGCATCTGCAACGGAATACTCTGCTGCGCTATACCGCAATAGCGCAAAACTTTTTTCCGTACACGGGAATTAAAAATTGTCAGTAACAAGATACCTCTGACTTTCACATTTATAATGAAATCAAATACACAAATTGCATTTCGCAGAAACTTTGAAAAATTAAAGATGATACACAAGCAAGAATTACGTTCACTCTAACCTAGTGGCAAGTCATCAATAGAAATTAAAATTGAGATTGCATTTATTATGATAAAATTTGAAATTTACACATTACATACGTACATTTACTCTACGAAATTCTAGGAGATAAAAATTTGGTGACTTGAGAACAGAATCCCCTTAAACATTAATCTAATTTTGACGAATGTTAAACGCTACCATACGTATTATACGTACGTTTTTACATTTTGTACTCATTATACATTATATTATACATAAAAAACTACTCGTAGTTCTAAATTCAACTTGCCCTGAATAGTCATGGCGACTATGTTGAATTGTGACGTCAGAAGCGAAATTAATTTGTTACATTGCATGCCATTTGTAAGTAAGACAATTTGGACGAAACAAAATGACGAAATCATTTTAAAACACTGATAAAAATCGATGAAAATTGTCGTTTCCTCGACAATCAGTAAATAGTTGTAAAAGACACGTAAAGTGAGCCTTGTATTCGGACAGAAATACATGGTCTGACAACTGTTGAAACGAGTAAAATATACGTTTTTACATATAAAATTCCAAATTAACTTTAGTTTTCATCGATAATTACTTTGATAAGTACGAAACAATATTTTCACAATTAAGCAAATAATAATGAAACGGCATGTAACATAAATTTCGTCACTTTTTCACGTCTATAAGTTTCAGCCATTTATGTGGTGAAGCGCTGTAACACACACAATCACTGGGTATGGTCAATGCGATTCTGCAAATGCTTTGAAGCTTTTTTTAATTGGTTAGTTTGTAAAATTCTTTCTTCTAATTAGTCCATCAAATGCTTCAAAGCATTTGTAGCGAGACTTTGATCACAG